GGGACRCAGCCACGAGGAGCAGGACGAGCTTAGGGGACAGGAACGGCTCCGGCCACACTCACCATGATGCCACAGCAGGACCCGCTCCCGCACCCCGAGCTGCCGCTGCTGCCGCCGCCGCCGCCGCTGCCACCRCCGCTGCTGCCGCATTAGAGCAGGGGCGGCCCCTGCGCGCCCAGGCCCCGCCTTCTCATTTGCATACATTTGCATAAAGGTGCGGGGAGGGGGGGGGCACATCGCTCTGCAGGGGCTCCAGCTCCGTGCCCCCTCCCGGGGGCTGCTCGGGACACGCTGGAGCAGCTCTCAGGGAGGGAGAAAAGTCARCAACGAGCCTGGCTCGTGTCTCGTGTCCCAGCAAGCAGGGCTGGCACAGACCCGGAGCTGCCATGAACCTGGGTGTCCACCACGCGTCCAGGAAAATTCCTGGAGAAGCCACAGGAGGAGGAACAAACTCGAGCTTTCCAAACTCTTTGGAAGCTCTGGAAGGAACAAGCAGGAAAGTGCAGAGCTCTCCTTTGCCCCATCCCCTGAAGGACACATATGCCCAAGGGGCTGTGTCTGAAAGCCGCCAGCCTATGGATGTGCAAATCCTTCTCTGACCTGGATCAGTGTCAGCCTTGTGGTATTTGTCTGCTCTCATAAGGCTTTCTGCAGCAGTCTGTGAGGGGAGACGGATTCGCAGCTCTGTGGCAGTGCTTGGTCCCCTCAAAGAGGGGTTATCTGCTCTGATTTGCCACTATCTTGCAGATGTCTGGCTCTGCAGCARTGAGTAACGTGTGCCTGCCAGCCCCCACTAAAGCCCTTGCAGCACCTCCCATGATACGGAGCCATCCCGAGCCCTTTGCCTTATTATTTCCCGCTGAAATGTGCTGTCATCTCTCAGCTCACACTGAGCTACTGCTCCCGATGGCCTTGCTTTGTGCCTGAGCCACCTGGAAAGTGTCACCTTCAGCGGTGAGAACATGCAAAGAAGCAGTACCGCTGCGAGCTGAAGCCTGTTCTGGTGTCTAAGCAACATATTTTAAGAGCTGCAGAAACGGCTGAGGCATCTGATCAAAGGGTGTCTAATCACGCTGATGAGAAAGTGGGTTTCTCCGTGGGGATGCCCCAGGTTGCAAGCGCTGCTGGACTTGAACAGGGAGCTGTGGCGACTTCATGATGAGAAATGCCTAAACTCCCTRTGGTATAAACGTCCTCCGAGTGGCCTCAGAGATCAGCAGGTAACAGAGACCACATGGATATAGAGAGTCAATGAGAATAACATCATAATTGGCAGCACTGAGGCATCAAAAATAGAGTCTCATAGCTTTACTGGTRTGGAAAGGAGAGATGCAGTCATCTTCCCTCAAGAAAAGCTTCTCCAAGGAGCTCAATGAAATAGATACCGGATGTCAAGGTGTCAGTTCTGACTCTCTCCAAGCTCTCTCCGTACTCGCATGTTCCCAGCTCATTCTGGGATGTTTATGGCATTAGCATTGGGTAGCCCGGGTCTGAAGCCCAAGTGGCAGAGCTGCAGGCAGCAGTCAGCCTTTCAGACAAGTGCAGAAGACTTGTGTGGGCTACCCAGCTTCAGAGAATTTGGATGGCAACCTGGAGGCACCTCAGGGCATAAAATTATTTTACTTCTCCAAGAGCTGCCTGGATCTGGTATTAGGACATTCTGATAGACAGCTGAGRGTGAAATGTCACTGATTCATCCTTGCTGCAAAGGTAGGCTCACACTGAAAAAAATCATTAGGATGCTTTTATGTTGAAAGAGCAGAGCAGTAATGACTGACAAGAGAGCCAMGAGCAACTCCAAGCTAAGCATCTCTATATACCTTGGATCTGAAAAGACCAAACAGATGTCTAAGCTTTTTTTTTCAAATACTTAAGAACAGCTGGCTAAATCGGGTGAGCACCAATGGGCTGTATCTCATCGGGGCCTAATTGCTCAGCAGCCTGCCAGATGTGCYTAGCAGCATCCTGCAAGCACACAGAGCAGGGGGAGCATGGCTTGACCCCAGGGAAATTCGRCCTGAGGAGACCCCTCCCTCACCAAGATGCTATGGCCACATGAATAAAATGACACTGTATAGGTTTTGTTTTCATACAAAAACAAACAAACAAAAAAAGAGGTTGCAAGACTTTTTTGAGGAATACTTTCAGCATTGCACAAAACAAAATCATATCCTAGGCTGGTACCAGTCACCCGGACGAGTACAAAAAATCAAGTATGGTAGATTTAAGACTGGAAGAGGCTATGCATTCTGCTGAGACAACCCAAACCACTGCACGGTGACAGGATGAGTGGCATTCACCAGAAATTCACGGGGCTCCAGAAAAGTGCCTSGTTATTAGTCTTGTATAAAGGCTGTGTAGCCACAGAACTGATGCAATGTTTGACAGTGACTGCGAAAGAACCAGAAGTCTAATGACAAGTGACACAAAAGACTCAACAAACGTCCACCCGGGCACATATTTTCAGCTGTCGAGATCCAGCAGTGGAAATGTTTCTGCTCCCATCAATGAGTTTAACAAACTCTCGCTGGAAGAGTGGGTAACTACAGGATATCGCAGTGAAAGAGCCCTCCCTACCCCGTGGTCCTGCCGTCCCCGCAGTCCTTGCAGAGCTGCAGGCCAGCGGGCAGCAGCAYGGTGAGGAGCAGGACTCCTCTGTGTCCAGCCTGTCGGTGCCCCGGCCAGTTGGCAGCGCAGATGGTGGCACTGGGTGACACGGCAGTGCCTGCGGGAAGGAACAACCCACCAGGAGGGAGCTCCTGGGTCTCCTGTGCCTCCTGGGTGGTTGAGGGGTCTGGCAGGTTGAGGGTCTGGCAGCAAATCTGGCTGCTGCCCTGGAAAGCCTGAAGACCTGGCGATGCTCTGCCGTAACAGGAGTTGTGGCAACAACATCCTCGGAAGCAGAAAGGCAGCTGAGGATTAACGGGGGGCAGATGTTGAATAGGATCAAAGCATGTGGCTTTAATTGCATCTCGCAGATGCTGTGGGATCAAGCAAGCCCCGTTTGTTGCTAATTCTGCYCCAGCAGCATCTCACAGAGCTATAGTGCAGGGCCCCTAAAGCACAGCTTGTCCCCGGTCATGGCCCAGCCAAGGCATCGGACTGCAGCTTTACCTGTGACACGTGAACCAAGACTTGGGACATGACCACTGTGAAATATTCTAGCATGGTGTGAAGAAGAGCAGAAAACACTCTCCTCACCATTTCTTAAAATATACATAGATTTCTAGGGTCAAAAAGGACCCTGTGTTTGTCTCATCTTACATGTGGACCCAGTGGAGACAGTGCAGAGAGGAAAACAAGGGTGAGTGAAATGCTAGAAACCCTGGTCTGCAATCAAGGGTTTAAAGAGCAGGCACTACTTAGAAGATCAAGCGGAGACCCAATAAAATATCTTTAAAAATAAAAGAGGCAGCTGCAGATAGGAAGCTTAACTCTATTCCATGCTCAGGATAAGAAGATGTAAACGTAAGATTTGCTAGTGGAAAGCTTTGTGAAGCCGATCCTCCGAAGTCAYGGGAATGTCACCAGTGGAAGCTTTCCATGCCCCACATGCGGCACGTTCTCCGGGAGGCCGCACAGGGCGCAGCTTCCGCGCTGCTCTGCCACGCGCTGCCCTGCCGGAGCTGAGCAAAGCCGGCGCAACTGCTGGGTCAGAGAAAACGGAGGCCGTTGTGCAACGCCTCCCGCGCCGGAGCTGGTGTGCGGCCTTACAGGAGCAACAATAACACAGATTCCAGATCTGGCTGGAGTTCGAAGCCCTGAATCACGGGGCAGGGGCGAGAGCAGCCGGGCACTCCCAGGGCGCAGGCAGCACGCACACACGCTCAGCCCCAGCCTGCCGAGGCTAAAACGGGCTGGAGGACGAGCTGGGACAGGCTCTCTTTTGGCTCACGGGCCGTGGGTGAGCCTGGCTCAGCGGCTGGCTCTGAGTGTCACCCTGCTTTCCTCACGGCCTGGGAAAAGCAGCAACACACCCAGGGGGATAAAGCAAACTGCAGCTGGCTGAGTGCAGGGACCGCACGTCAGGGCTCTGAGGTGGCCTGGAGCCAACAGGCCGCCTTTGGGGCTCCGTGGAGGAGCCTCGGTGCTCCGCCGGGACTCCTCTGTGCAGCCAGTGCACACTCCTCTATTCTCTCCGTTCCTCTGGCAGCTCTCAGAGCCCAAGGTGCCACGAGCAGCAGAAAAATCACTGGAGGACCTGGGGATGTTGGTGCTCGCGGAGGGGTGCTGGCTGCCCCCGTGCAGGACGGGCAGCGAGGCCGGAGCGTCTCCGTGTGCTCTGGGCTCRCTAAGAGTCCATTGCCCTGCCCTTTGGGCCTCCTTCCTGTGCTGCAAGCTTCACAAAGCTGTGGCCAGCTCTGTTGCAACGCTGCGACGCTGCAGCAATGAGGCAAGAGCCAGAGATCGCGTCCCCCTCTCCCCGGAGCCCAAGCCGGGMCCGTCAGGCCACAGCTGAGCATTCACATCCATGTGTCAGAGGTGCCAGGAGGATTCGTGCTAGCCAGAGCTGTGCTCAGCACTGCCTTGCCAATGTCTCTGCAGAAACGTCCTCTCTATAGATAAACCACAACCAGGCAGGGAAGTCTGCATTCCCTTGGGAATACCAACACTTCCCAACGCAGGGGCATCTCTTGCCAGCTGTTTTTCTCTGCCCTGCCAACGTGTGCCAGTCTCTAGGCCGTTCTTGAGCCTTTAATGGCTGGCTGGGTGCGTGCGATGGGGAATCTGCATGTGGAAGTGGAGTCCAYGTTACGCAACCAGCTAGTCAGCCCAAGGGCTCGCCGGCACGGAAAGCGAGAGCAGACGGAGCAGAAAGCAGGGCTGGCAGCTGGCCAGTTGCCGTGATAAAAGATGTATTTAATAAGGCAGCCGCGTAGCAGCTCCCGGGACGCTCCCTTTCCCTGGCAGGGAGGAGCAGAGCTGCTCCAGCCCAGGAGTCCAAGGCAGTGTGGTGGAGCAAAGGGGCGCTCTGGGGCGGGAAGGACATCATCCTGAGGATGCCAAGCTTCAGCAGGCTGCTGAGCTTCCTTCAGAGTGAACTTATGGCCATTACCACCCTGTCCTGGCACGTGGATGCTGAGCCCTGGCCTGGGTTGGCCRTCGCCACCAYCAAGACCAAGCGCAGCATCCAGTTTGTGGACTGGTGCCCCACGGGCTTCAAGGTGGGCATCAACTACCAGCYGCCCACGGTGGTGCCGGGGGGCGACCTGGCCAAGGTGCAGCGCGCCGTCTGCATGCTGAGCAACACGACRGCCATCGCYGAGGCCTGGGCTCGCCTCGACCACAAGTTCGACCTCATGTACGCCAAGCGAGCCTTCGTGCACTGGTACGTGGGCGAGGGCATGGAGGAAGGGGAGTTCTCCGAGGCGCGGGAGGACATGGCTGCGCTGGAGAAGGATTACRAGGAGGTGGGGACACACACTGTGGAAGGAGGAGGAGGAGAGGAAGAACGCATGTACCTCTCACCAAATTGAGGGAATCGATGTTTTCTGAAATACATGGGCTGATTTGTTTTCTTTCCTTTTCTTTTTCAGTTAAGTAAATTATTTTAGGTCACTCAGACTTTTAATTTGCTTATTCTGYTCTGCTCTGCAGTTCCTTTTCAGCCATTCCTCATGCAGCGGGGCCACATGCTGCAGTGCTGGGGCAGAGCCCCCATCCCCGTGCCAAATCTGCCCCGTGATCTCGGGCATGATTTGCCCCAGAGGAGCCCAGATTACAGAAGTGTCCTGACATTTCCAGTGCTCAGGTCTGCACACATGTGCTGCCTGCTTCCGACATCACATAGGCACCAAAGCCAATGAAGGAGGTTGGAGAGATCCACAGAGCCTTCACTGTCAGGACTGGCTTTTCCCAGTGTCAGGAAGCTTTTCCCTTTGCCTTTCATGCATTCCTCATTCGACTTGTAGGGGTTGTCTTGTACATATGTTTTGTGAGTCAACACAAGATGCAGAGCACAAGGACTAGGGTTATATGCTCATGTTTTGTTGTAGGTCACCTAAGGAKGACTCCCTTTTACATCCCTGTGAGGACACAGGCTTAATCCAAAGGGTTGTGCAAACTCTGTGCAACACATTTCCAAGGAAGACTTTAGCCACGGCACTGTCAGCATCCAGGGGCAGAAATCACGGCAGGTACCGACCTTCAAAGACAGACCCCGACGGTTCGCTCTACCTGTGCAGCCTGCAGAGCCTCTCCTCAATGCTGGTGAGTCAACAGGTGACATCACTTTCTTACCTCTTTGTGCAGGGGCTAAATGATGGGTTTCTATGTTTAATTACACCCCCATGCTCCAGAATGGGACCTTCCCACTGCCTAAGTGCATTGCCGGGTTCCCCAGCTGACCACCATGGGCACAGGTCTGTCCTTCCTGCCATTCCAAGGGCTATAAACCTCAGGCTGTCACCAGGCTCGGGCGCATGTGATGGAGAACCTGTTTAATCATGGGCTTCTGGCCCCACCACCAGCCTCAGAGGCTGCTGATAGACAACCTGCAGGCTCCTGCGGCTGCCGTGGGGTGGTGCCTCCCATGCCCACGGGCTGCCAGAGCCCACATTGCTGAACGCAGCCGGGGACAGTGCCTGCTCGCATGGAAGGCACGTCTGTCACGCTTCCACCTGCCCCAGTGTCACCCTCTCCTAATGCCGCAGGAGGACTTTTCCTCCCCTGACACCCTTARTTCCTAGAAGAGACAAATCTAGAAAAGCCAAGCGGGATACGCACAGAGGGCCAGGCATGGTCAGGCCATCGGGGTGCCAGGGCCCTGGAAGTGCAGGCATTGCTAGAGGAGAAGGCTGCAGTGGGGCAGGTCTCCAGCAACCGGGCACAAAGAAGCAGCGTGGGCAGGAGGGCAAGGCGAGAAGAGTCTTCAGACGAGAGAGAGGGACCGAGGGTGGAAGAACAGAGTGAATTTTAAAGGGGGTGCATAAACTTGTGCACATCACATAGGCAGGTGCAGCAGGTGCCCTCTCTGGGGACACTTGCTCGCGTGCAGGTGAGTGGGCATGGGCAGCGGGCACACAACTCCCCGAGCAGTCCACTCCACAGCTATCTATGTGTATGGTGGGACACGCAACTGCCAGCTTGTAGGAAGCCTTCTTCTGGGGAAATCAAAAGAYGAAGTTTTGCACAGTGCTAAAAAGAAAACAACAAAGCCAGCCTCTCTCAGAGCGTGGTTTGCGTAATATTGCAGCAAGTTTGTGAAGCAATTCAGTCATTTCCCAAAAGAAGAGGCAACCAGCATGAAAAACTGGTTCTTTGGGGTCTAGCTTTGCTCAGCTTTCTTAGTTTAGAGCATTTCATTGGCATTTTCACAGCTTTGGAGAGCTGACGGGAGGGTCACAACACAAAGAGGATCTCCAGATTTTGTAGGGAAATAAAGGTCTTCTTGAGTCATACTTGGACACTTGAAGGGAACTGTAATTCCCCAGGTATTAGCAGGAATAGGAGCTGCCCAGGCGAYATTCCTGCAGACTGGCAGCGCTTGGGGGACAGTGCAGCCGAGGGAGGTTTCTCCGTAACAACCAGCCCGCAGAAACGCCAGTGACCGAGCAGAGCGACCCATCAATGCCCCATGCGCGCAGAGTCCACGCTTCACGGTCTTATGTAACTGCTTTCCAACATCGCCCTCAAGAGTTAACCTCGTACTTCGGGAATTATAAGCTTGGCTTCTTCTTCAGCTTGCGGGGAGCTGGCGAGACCCCGGGTCGCGGGCGCGCTGCTCCCGCGCGGAGCCGGCCTGTGGCTCCACCTGGCGCCCGCGCGGCGGGAGGGCACTCGGTGCGGGAGGGCACACGGGGCGGGAGGGCACTCGG